CTGAATGTTGTTATTGGAAATTAAAACCTATTTTTATATTTTATAAATATTCAAATTATTTTTAGTTAAAATTTATCAATTCCTAATTAAATTGTATATATAATAATAACTTTTATTTTCTCTTAAAAAATATTAAGCTGAAACATTTTTTTTACTGATTATATGAGAGAGAAAAAATCTATATCATAGGAGGCAAATAAATAAATAAATAAAATGTTTAAGTCTCTTCAAATTCACAATGAAAAATGTACTGACGAATTGTTTTATATACGAATACCTTTTATTTTAAGTTTAAGAGATTAGAACACAAAGGTTAAGTAAAAGGGTCAGATTTTAAGCAAGAAATTAAATCTATTATAATTTAATAAATCTAAACTTTAATATAACTTGTGTTGGATTGAACTGATCATGGAGGGAATTGGACCTTCATATTCTTCATAATCTAATTGTAACAATAAAAGGCCAAATTAAAATATATACATATATATATATATATATATTCTTCTTCCTCTTCCGTTCAAGCTCCCTTTCTTCTCCTTCTCCATTGCCTCTTCTCGGAAGCTCGGATTCTTCACCGAGGTAAGGGAAGCTAGATTTTCTTGCCGGTTGTTTGAAAGTGAGCTTGAGACTCACTTGATTGGTTGACTCTTTGCGGATTTGAGGGCTGTTGGACGAAAATGGAGTTTTGGGGTTGTTGGGGTTTTTGGTTGAAAAATTTGGATTTGTTTTCGTTTGATGTTGCATGTTGAAAAAGCTGAGATTTTTGAAGTTATTGATGAAAATGTGATGTTTTGGGCCGATTGCATGTTGGATTTTCTGATTATTTTGCAGGATTGGTGAAGTTTTTCGAATTTGGGTAGGTTGCTGCTGAGCCTCGCGCTGAGCGCGATTCTTCGCGCTGGGCGCGAGACCACCTGGAGGCTCCTTTTGACAAGCTCGCTGAGCGCAAAGATGTGGGCGTCGGGCGAGCTTGGGAAGGTGAGCCTCTGGTTGGCCCTCGCCAGGCGAGTCAGGAATCGTGCCAAGCGCGCTGGCAATATTTTGGGGGTGGTGATGCGCTAAGCGCGACCCTAGTCGCGCTGGGCGCGAGACTCCTTGGGAGTCTCTGCCTGGAGGGCGCTAAGTGCAATTCAAGTTGCGCTGGGCGTGAGACCAAGGGAGGTCTCTGCCTCCTCCGCGCTGGGCGCGGGTTCAGGCATGCTGGGCGCGTGGGACTCTATGGAGTCTCTGCCTAGCAAGCGCTGACCGCAATCCTCAATTGCGCCAGGCGCGTGAGGGGCCACGTCGGGCGCGAGCAGTCTGGCGCTGGGCGTGTTGGCCCTTGATGCTCTCGGGTTGAGCTGCGCTGGGCGCGACCTTGGGTGCGCCGAACGCGCAGAAGAATGTGAATTTATATGCTTTTATTCGTTAAATTTTGCTGAAATTGATATTTATGTTGTGCTGATTAGATGTTAATGCGGTGCTGAGCTGGCTGCCATTGATGAAAATTAAGTACTATGATTTTGCTGTGCTCTAGAATAATGAGCTGAGATGTGAGTAGTAAGCTGTGTTGAATGCTACCTAGTCAAGCTGTATGTTGATATGTTGTGTTGTGCATGAGATGTTTTGTTGTGCTGTTTATTTTGCTAAGCTGTATTCTGTTATGACCGCTATGTCGGTGTTGTTAGCCACTATTGTGGTGCTGTTATGACCGCTATGTCGGTGCTGTTAGCCACTATTGTGGTGCTGTTATGGCCGCTATGTCGGTGCTGTTAGCCACTATTGTGGTGCCGTTATAGCCGCTGAGCGGTGCTGATATTGCTGAATTGTTGTTGTGTAGTATAAGATGTGCGGGTGTGCTGATAGCTGTATATGCTTCTATTCATATTTATATATGTATGTTGAATTCTTTACACTAGCTTACCCTTTGTTGTCTCCATGACATTTGGACTGCAATGATCATACTATGTATGGGAGCAGAGCAGGGATAGGTCGGTGGCTGGTAGTTGGGCTGTAGCTGGCATTTGGAGCTGACCCTCTTGAGTTGTTTTGTTTTCTTTTTGTTGTTTAGCTATGTGATGTAGTAGTTGATGATGTATTCTTTTTGTACACTATAACTCTGGTCAGATTGGGACCTTGTATATCGATATATTCTAGATCCTATATTTATATACCTGTTCTATCTGTCTGGTGTTTCCAGTGTGCTGTGCCGTGTGTAGTGACCAGCTGTGTCGTTACACTTTAGTGGTATCAGAGCCTGGTTCGAGTCTAGTGGACACTCTTTTTGAAAGTGAGCTTGAGACTCACTTGATTGGTTGACTCTTTGCGGATTTGAGGGCTGTTGGACGAAAATGGAGTTTTGGGGTTGTTGGGGTTTTTGGTTGAAAAATTTGGATTTGTTTTCGTTTGATGTTGCCAATCAATTTTTTTTATAACTTATTAGCTAACTACGTTCTGTTGAAATAGTAAGAAATTGTTAGAATGAAACGTTATTAATTATAATTGTCTCTGGAAATAATATATATTCATTACAGTGGAATCCTTATATATTTGAAAATATATTATTAAGTTAGCCTTAGTCATTCATCTAAATTGATTATTAAATATAAGATTGTTATGAGTAAGTGGAGCTTGGTTGCTTATTTAAATTGAGAGTTTCCTGAATTTAGCAACCACATGAGAAAAAAAGCCAAACACAAAATAACAAAAGAAAGCCATACAGCAGAAATATTATATTAATTCTTTTAGACAGCAATGGAGTGGATTGCATACGTGGTCAATTCGCTTTAAGTTGATCTCATTCTTATGTGTCAGATTGTCTGACTTATCAAATGTTCATCATCTCATCCAACGTCTCTGATGTAATTTTATTTCTTTCATGAATAGCAAAAAATATTCCAAGGAATATAGATATTTGGAGAACGTTAAGCTTCACGTTCACTATAAATACTCCGTAAAAAAAGAATAGTTCATTATAACTCCAGCAAATTGAATCCAAGCCAGACACGATTTTGAAAGCAATATGAACCCGATTCTTATAAAAAGAGATTATTCTTCTGGAACATTAATATTGTCATTTTGTTTTGTACATTCACTTAATTTGTAACAACAATGACTAAGAACCATTTTATTTATTTTTTTTACTTCGACAAGACCATTGTGAACTGTGATAATTAATGATTACTGGGTCGTTGACGAGTTGGGTTTCAGTGATTGTTCAATAGTCTCTTTCCTCCATGCCTTGAACACTCTCATTCATGGTAGACTTTTGATTTTTTTGTTCTTCTTCTAAATGTGTTTCTCATTATGGCTAGTTAATTCTATAATTACCAAATCCATAACAATCTATATATCTCCTAATATCTTAACAAACATATATAGTTTAAAAGAATTACACAATAAAATTCTAGGGTTATTAAATGACACAATACCACCATGCATACTCATAGTTGATACCACATGAAAGCCAACATGCAATGTTCCCTAGTCCCCCACTCATGTTCACACATCTAATATATTCACCAATATTTTGTCTTACCATGACCTCAACAAATTTTCCCATTGATGCTTTTTTGTGCCCTCCAAACATGTTCAAAGTACGTATCTAACTATCTATTACTTTTTACCATTAGAAGATATAATATTTGGCGATTATTTAATTCTAATTATTCCTTTGCAGGGTCTAATAATCTTAGAGAGAATCCAAAGCTCAACGATCACAGGAGAAAGAAAGAGATTCATCTATCTTAGAGTTGGAGATGTTAGTGGAGATTATTGCCCAAGCTTGAAACTTAAAGAGGGGGTCTTTGTGACGTTAAGGAAGAACTTTCTAGTGTGAAACTTAATATGCTTTTAGCTTCTTTGAACTTAATTATCGGATACAAGTTGTTTCCTTTCAGAAATTAAATAATGGTGTTTGCATCATAATTTAGTTTCAAATTTCTGTTTTGTGTTCAATGTTGATGGTTACCTATTCACATCATAAAAGCATTGCTTACACTGAATTGCAATTAGAAGTACAAATTACAGAGCATAACATTTTTCACATGAGAAAGGTCTATATTTCTTTAGAAATGTCTTTTTGAGTAAAACTTTTGTCGTCTTGGAAACAGTAGTAGGTCAGCTTGTGAGGATATGTACCAAATCGTGAGATTCCCAAAAGTATAAAGCCCAAAGTTTCAATGATACATTTTCTTACAAAAGCCCAGAGCCCATAGTAGGCCTGCGTACGTTTTCTCCCAATAATAGGCCCACAGTCCAAAGTAACATATATAAGTGCCAACTATTGGTTTAAATGCCTTCAGCTATCAATAATTAGATTTAACTCGTGAATATTGTAAAAGAAAAATAAACTCGTTGATATAATTTTGTCACATCTCTAACTTTTTTTAATAAATGAATGAAACTTTTTTTTTATTGGACTTTTTCCATTACAAATATTTACTGTCATGATGATGAACCCATTGCTATTATTAGTTGCTTGCTTGCTATAATGTTTTGGGTAACCAATTAAAGTGGAGCTATAAAGGGGATGCGATGTTAGTCAATCAAGTTCGTGAGTGCAAATTGAGTTTTAATCCAACTGAAAAACAAAAACAAAAACTTTATAAACCCGTTCTTTTAGTTCCTGTTCCTTTTAGGGTCAAGTGCTTTTCAAAACTTTAATTAAGCTAGTTAAAATATATTTTATATTTTTATATAATCAAATGGAACAAAATTAAATTTTGAAGGAAACAAAGAAAACTTGAGTTTCTAAATCAAATTGATCCGATTGGTAAAAATCAATTGACTCTTTGAAATGAAATTACAATCATTATTAAATAAATTTCTTCATGAAATATATCACTTGCTATTTTGTAGGCCTCGAAATCATATTAAATATAAATCCTTATTCAATCTAATATAGAAAGATTCCTTGGAATCCAAAAATTCCATCTATCATGCATGCCTATGTGCAAGCTTGCATTCTCTTTGCCTATAAATACACCCATCTGTTAGTCACATGTGATCACATTCATAAACATTAGCCCATTTAGGCATTTGAGTTATTACAAGATTAGCTTTTGTGCACTCAATGGCTGGGATTGTGGTGGTTTTTGACTTTGACTCTACAATCATTGAGTGTGATAGTGATAATTGGGTTCTTGATGAGTTTGGTTTAACTGAAAAGTTCTATCAACTTCTTCCGAGCATCCTTTGGAACCCTCTCATGGTTTTCTTTAATTTCCTTTCATTCCTTGCTTTAAGATACTATGTTTTCATAGCTTAATAGTGACATAATTTTTGTATATCCTAAAACTTTACAGGATAAGATGATGAATGAACTTCATTCACAAGGAAAAACCATTGAAGACATTGTTGAGGTTCTGAATAGAACTCCAATGCACCCCCACATTGTCCCAGCCATTAAGGCTGCATATTCCCTTGGGTATATTCCTTTCTTTCCCTTTTCATTCTTCCCTTATTGCATATACTATATGCCATTATGTCTAGTAGGAGAGGTAGGTGAATAATTAAGCATGATGGGTTGATTTTCTATGTATGAAATTTCATTCATTCCCATAATTTTCTTTCATTTTCCTCATAAGTCCTATTCAAACACACCCATGTGATAAAATGGTTAACATATGTAACATCTTTGTACTCTTTTTCATTGATAAAGATTCTAACACCTAAGATGGGATTGGATTTAGGTGTGAGCTGAAGATTGTGAGTGACGCAAATATTTTCTTTATTGAAACAATTTTGAAGCATCATGGAGTGTGGAATTGTTTCTCGGATATCACTGCAAACCCCAGTTACGTTGATGAAGAAGGGAGGCTTAGAATTTGCCCCTACCATGATTATCTAAAATCTTCTCATGGATGTAATCTCTGTCCACCGAACATGTGCAAGGCAAATATTCCAACTCCAACAATCTCTTTATTTATGGCAAAGTAGTAAATTCTATCTATGTACTTAATCACTTTTACGAACTAATAGATCTATATTTATATAATTTATTGCTATATTTATTCATAATCAAACAAGGACTATTTTCTACAACATGGGCAAATCAAGATTTGAATTTTCATTAGGAAAAAGTGTCTGTTTTCAATGCCAGACCGTGATTTGAACATAATAATAAAAAACATACGTAGGAAGAAAAAAAATATCCATGAAGTTTCACTCACCCCAAATTGAATTATTACAATGTCTTAATTATTGACCCACACGTCAGGCTTCACTTTTCTGATTTATGTCATAACATAATCCATGGGATCGTGACAACATATAAAAGCAAAATTATGTTTCATGAACCACGTACATAGTGTAGCGTCTATAATAATAACTTTCAACCAAAAACTACTAATTGAATTTATACTACCAGCAAAAGTTCATTTTTTGAAACTTGTCTCATCCATTGACATTTTTCCTTCTCTAATGACATGCAGGGATTGGTCATAGAAAGGGTCCAAAATTCTCTTGATGCTGCAGGAAAGAAGAAATTCATCTATCTTGGAGATGGAAATGGAGACTTTTGCCCAAGTTTGAAGCTCAAGGATAGGGATTATTTGATGCCTAGAAAAAATTTTGCATTGTGTGATTTAGTATCTAAAAACTCTAATCTCATCAAGGCGGAGGTACATGCCTGGAGAGATGGTGAAGAACTTTATGAAGTTATGCTTCATATTATCAACAAAGCTATTGGAGAAGGAAACAACATTAGTAGCTCTACTACAATATCAGTTGATTGCAAGTTGGGGTCAATGTCAATTGATGCTCATAATAAACCTTTCCCCAAAGCACTCTCAGTTCCTCAGTAACTAAAATTGCAGAGGATGAAGGATAACATTTCTTGTGGCTTCTCAGTTATCATCTATGTACTGCTACTTTATTTTTCTGCATGCTTTTGCAGAAAGGGTAAGGGGGTTTGACAATAAAATAAAGTATGAAGCATATTATGTTGAATAAAAGTATGAAATTTGATCCAGTTTCGTCTCAATTGTCAAGTTCAAACTTTGGCCGTTTAACAAGCATTTCATGAGACTTATTTTTGTTGAAGCACGAATGGAATTAAACACTGTTAACTTAATTATGGGCATTTTGATGATTAGAATCTACAGGTTTTGAGCATATCGTGTATTTTGCAAGAAATAGTGCAGGTCGAGGGCTCACAATGTTGGTTAAAATTTTTATATCATTGTTTAATATATGCCGTAATTCATCATAAAAATAGTTAACTTCTTTGGTGGTTATTATGACACTAAGTTTTTTACAACATATATTTAGATGATATAGTCTTAAAACTTTACATTGATTATGTTTTGAGAATGTTATCCGTAAAATAATTCTGAGAAATTTGCATGAAATTACTAAAACTCTCTAGTAAAGAGCAAGACCAACAACGTGTCACTTTTATGAACAGAATTGTTTTTAAGAACTTATGCCAAACTGTTGAACTATATCTAAGATGCAACATAATTTCTAGCACCGAATTAATTTGTAGACAAGCCTAGTGTGTTTGTAAAAACGTTCTTATATTTTCCAATGCAGTTGAACAAGGCTAGAGGAAAAAGCTAAATCCACGTTTACCAAAACATTGAAAGTGTGCTGGATAGGACTCAGACACCTTGAAGGACCAAGTGTCCTAAGAGGTCAAGTAGTACCCCAATCTCTTATTAGATTTTATTCCGACAATTATTCGCCAACCGCACTAAGATAATTACGTAACCGTCACCGGTACTCATCATTGTCATTAAAGAACCATGAAACACATTTTTTATATCAATGAATGAATCCATACTATATAGTATTAAGTCTTTTGTTCAATCATTAAATACTGTATTATTTTTAGATCCCATTTATATAGTAAATGATAAATCTGCATCATCATCTAAATACTTCTAACTTAATCGAGAACTTGTCTGACTTCTAGAGAATAAAGGAAGGAGTTATCCCTCAAGAAAACTTCATAATTATACCCATTTTTAATACTTTTAATACTAAAAATTTAAGTATTCATTATATGTTGGGTGATTAAAAATAAAATAGAATTTGGGACCATTTTAAGAACAAGCTGGAGAAATGAAAGGAGATAGTGAAATCTGACCCCAACCCCACGAAACATATATATAATTGTGAATCCTTCCCTTTTCAATTTCCCTTTGATTGGAGACAAGCAAACAAGCTTTTGGGGGCAGTCAAGTCAAGATTGTGGTCAATGTTTAACTAAAAAATTCAACCTCACTTTTCCCTTCACCATCACGCTGCTCGTCCATTAATTATCATTAATTTTGTCATCTTCTATGCTTTCCCAGAAAAATAATGAATTTGGTTGAGTAGTTAGATTAAAGTAGATAATGCAATTGAATCAGGAAAAGTGTATGATATCAGTTAATTTGCCTTATTTGCATACTGTGCCATGCACTAAACCTCCTTTTTTCTTGCTTTTCTACGGAATGCAGGTGTAGTTGGATCTCACCTAACAAAAGAGAAACCAACAAAGTGCTGCATCATTAATTAAGTACTACTTATTTATTTGGAAATAATATTTTTCTTAAAAAAACTCTTTCTAACAATTTTTTCATTATGTTGTTTGATAAAATTTGTATAATTAAGACTCATTAAAAATTAAATAATGCGTCTCTCTATTTGTTTGATGGAATCTACGTGAAATTTACTTAATAAAACAACATATTGTTAATATTTTTCCTTTTGTTTAAAAAGCTGAAAAAAAAGCACTGTTTGATATGTTTATTTTCTGTTATCATTTTTTAATGAAAATGAAAAACAGTAATAAAAGCATGCTTGTTTAGGTTTTAGAAAATACTTTCTATAAAAATATTTCAAAAAATGAAGGCCAAAAATTAATAGTAAAAGAAATCATTTTTAATATTTTCAACCAAATAAAAACGCCATAAACCATAATTATAACACTTTTTTTTTTTAATCACATCATCTTGATCTCCACCATTTACCTATGTTGTTTCATCATGATATTTTTTTATTGTTAATCAAGTAAAATGAAGTATAAGTGCGTAAACATATAAATGTCTAATTTTAATAACTTATGAATAAATATACGTGCATAAGTTATATATATAATTAACATATATTAATATAAATATATTTTTATTATTAAAAATTATTTGTAAATATGTAATGAAAACATTAGAAATAGTTCAACTAAACATATTTTAATGTTTTTCATTTTTTCAGATAGAAAATAAGTTATCAAAACAAACATATTTTCTAAATCTTATAAATTTGAAAATGAAAACCATTTGGAAAAAATGAAATAAAAAATGTTTTCTTAAACCAAATAGATCCTAATTTTGTCGGATGCTTCTCCTTTTACCTACCAAATCTTTTAAAACTTTATCAAAAATATATTTAAAAAAGATCTTAAGAAATGTACCTTTTATAAGTGAGTTGTGTCTAGCAGTGTTTGGCCAGACTTATTTCTTTTTTTTTTTTTCTACTTAAAAAGAGAAATTGAGTGAAACATTTTTTATATAATAACTCTTAAAAAATAAGTAGTTTATATTTTAGTAGAAATCATGAGAATAAAGAGTTTTTAGTTTGTTTATTTCTATTTTCAAAACTGGTATATTGTATTTCATATTTTCTATTTTTTAAGCTTTACATAGAAAACAGAGGGGGGAGTTTGCATAGAAGAAAAAAATCAGCAGTAGTTCCTCTTCCTTCTTTTTATGTTCCTTTCTTTTTTTCTTTTGGGTCATTCAGTTTCAAACAAAGGAAATAAGCAAAAGGCCCAAACTGTCCAAAAATTCCAAATAAAGTTGGACCTCTGATTGAGATTCTGAAATTGAAAGCCCAGTAATTTTGTCGATTCAGAAATCTCTTGGAGTGGGATGTCACATATGGGATAATATGGTGCTAATTATTTTGTTATAATAGTAAGAGAGATGTACTTAGATATTAAAGTGCAGTTTAGTTAAGAAAGCAAAAAAATAAAAGAATAAAAAAAAATCCAAAGACCCAACACACATAAGGGAAGCTGACCAATCAAAAGCATGCTTTTCAGTTTTCACTTTATTTGCTTGAGACTATCCTTTAACCAAGATCGAGAAAGTAGGAAATGTGATTTTATTTTAAGGCTGAATTAAGCAGTAATTTATTAAAACTGCAAAACATGCATAGCTTTTATGGGGGAGGCCAAAAAATCCCACGACACAAATGAATGCAAGCAACCAAGATTTAGTGGAAAAGTAAAAAAGAACAATCTAAAGGGACATTAGACAACATATTCCATGTGTTTGTTCAGATCAATATTTTTGTCATAGTACCATATTCTGCAGCAAAGAAAACTCATACAGTCCAAAACATGAACTTAATGAGCTGAATAGAAGAGAATGACATTAAGCCAAAAAAGAGAAAGAGAGGAAACAGATCTACCACATTTAGATGTGTCATCATAACGGATTGGAATCAGAATATTTTTTTTAATAATTATCATAAACAGACAAGGTTTGATGTCTACTGGGTTTGCAGCTTGGGAAGAGATGGGGAAAACGTCGGATGTTCATGGCCACAAACAATTATTACATGGTTCTTCAATTTTCACTTTCCAGTTTGTGAGGAATCATTAGCTTGAGAATGGTGACAGACACAAAGCAATAAGCAATATGCAATGCTGGGGGTAGCAATAAAGAGCCTCCAGTGGCCCTCTCATCTTTTCATAGAACAAGGTAAAACATAGGGGTGTACCTTGGACACCCTGCATGGTATGAATTGCATGTGGGCACAAATTCCAAGTGCCCCACTCCATCATGGCTTGCATTATTGACCCTTGAAGCACTTGGCACAAAGTGTTAAACCAGTCATTTTAATCTAGTTATAAGACCTCTTATAAAACATAAGGTTCAATTTGGTGTTTTCAGGATCAATTTCTATCGGCATTAAAGTAATATTTTGCTAGCAGAAATCACATTTTGAGTATAAATTATTATTTAATTAGTTGCCAACTTTAAACACCGTGTAAACCATCTCCATCACAAAATAATAGTGTTAATACCTATGATTTGGTGTGGTGTTTTTCTTCGGGTAGGTTTGTGAATTAAAAGATGATTGGCAATTATCCTTGAGTTGTCTATTACAGTTGTAGGGCCAATGTATTTGCATGTGAGTCTTTGCTTAGCCAGTCCTGCTTCACTGCCCTATGCCCCCCCCTACCTTCTTTTCTTCTCTGTCCCCTTTAATGTATTGACTAATTCAGAAAAAGCATTATACTAGAATATGAACCAATGTGGAATGTTTTTACTAAATAGCAATATGGTAGCTTTTCAGGTGTAATCACCTAATTAATAGCCATCAATTCAACTAAAAATTACTGCTATTGATCTCAGAGAAAATAGTTTATTTATCCATATTATTATTTAATCACAAAATAATAACTACTAGATCTATCTAATGTTTGGGGGTGTTGGTAGAAGTATAAAGACTTGGATTTGATCTTTATTATAATTATTATTGGATATATTTAGATGCATATCTTGAATCTACATTCAAACAAGAGTCACGAAAAGGGATCTAATAATTATTTTACTTGATTAACATCCATTGACATCAGATGTATTACATCTTTCTTATTGTTAAGAAATTAATAATAATAATAAAATCATATTACATTAACTAATTTTTAGGTTGTACTTATTATAATTTCTTGGTTGACAATGTAAAAAAGTCTATAGAAATTGAATTCTTGATATTGTTTACATTCATAACCTTGAATGAGATAGTTCTTGAGCATGTCAAGAACCCTAAGAAATATTTTGTAAATTTGTTAATCTGAGTATGTATGGAAATACATCTACACAGAAACTACTAATTAAAATTCAAGGAAAAATATATACAAATATTTGATATGCTAGTTGTTTTAGGGAGACACGACAGCACGTATGGCTTCAACCATGTAAACTCGTTTTCACAGGAATGCCGTTTGTACAGCATGTAGCATCAGATAAGAAAAAT